CATACAAAATGTGCTATTATTTTTGCATATCAGTTACTTACAATGTATTACCTCTTGGGATCACTTTTAGGTCCACACTTTCTGGACCACTTTTAGGTGGTCTAGAACCGGCATAGCTATAACTACTATACTTATAAGAATAATATTATTTACTAATATACCTATGGGTAAATGTGGAAATGTGTTTGCAATATGTTGAATCATATGAGTTAAACAAAGAAAGAATATAATAATATTAGTGGTTGGAATAAGAAAGATGCAATTCCACAATAGTACTCTTTCTTTTTTCTTTATATGAGGGCTATTGGAAGATGCCCTTGTTGCACCCATATTGCCTATATTGCAAACAATTTAGCATCTACCTCTATGTATCAAGTAAAATATGTTTAATTAATTACAATTTTAACTACATAATTAATTATTCTTTAACATTCACTAAAACCACCGCTTTAAATTAAATTATTAGGATCGTAATATTTACTTTATTGCTTTCTTTCGACTTATCGTAACAATAATCCTTTTCAGAAAAATTATATGTTGATCCCCCTTTTATTAAAGCGTCATATCCATTCAAAAAGCGAGCCGAAAACCGAAAACTCCCATTATTAAAATCACAAAAAAACGAGAAACTTTTATAATCCATAATTGTTCGAAGCCATATTTCGGGGCAGTTTGGAATTTGTATCCGAAAGATTCCAATTCCAAATGAAAAACGCGTACAATTAAATATTTTCGTTCACACAGTTTTCGCCCTCCCGAAGGAGCAGCAAACTGGAATAGCAAACCGAAAGAATCGCATTCACAAACAGAACGTTTAATTCAAATACTTTTTGTACTTAAGAGGTAGCAGGAGTTTCGTTAATTTTAATACTTGTAACGGCTGTAATTCGTCTGTTTAATCGGCGAAACTTCTGGGCACTATTTGTCTTCTCTAATCTCGCGAACAGTTAAATTGAGTGTATCTCAAACGAGAGTAATAAGTACATTTTATGATGTATAACTCGAATAAAGTATTGTTATTTTCCGTTCTGAGAGGTAATGTACAGGGTGATTCATTTTACGTACGTATTCAAATAGTTCACAAAATTACAAAATTTAGATACAGGAAAAAAATCGCAACAAAGTATCGCAAAAACATATCTTTGCTTGTGACAGGTGATTCGAGGGGTTCGAAATAGATTCGCCGACTGACCGCACCAGTTTAAATCGTTATTTCCCTTCGCATTTATGAACTAAAAGTAGTAAGGGTGTTGACATTTCCAATAAGAGTTTTGTGAACTACGTTGAAAATGCCCGCGGAATTGTTGTTGTAAATCCAACTTATTCAAACAGAAATTGTTTTCATTGGACCGTATTTTGTTTCCACTACAGAGCAAACATCGTCGGAAAAGATGGAGAAATTAGGAGCGGAGATTTGCGAACTTTTTGATTTCAATGTCGTCTGTAGGTATGTATGATAAATAATAATTGTCGTTCGTGTAACGCATCATAGGTGATGCTTTATATTATCTCTTCAGTATACAATCACTTTATTTTAATTGGGAATGCTTTTTATTAAATTACTACTTCTTCATCTTATTTATTGCATTCGATGTTTGCTTCGATTTATTATATTTTTCGTTATTAAATCTTATTTCGATATTATATAGGTAGTATGCAATTTATGAGCTTGTGACTATGCGAGATTCTTTGACTTTATTAAGGCTACTATTTGTTTATAACATGAACAGTGTTATTGAAATAAATAAAATAAACTAAATATATTTAATCTACTGGATATAACCAAATATGTATAAAAAGTAAGTAGCTTAATTAAAGCTTGATATTCTACGTGTAAAAAGTGCATGAATTTTTCTGAGTAAAATAATATGGAACTGGCCGATACTCAGTAATGTACTTCCATTTTATGCGATTAAAAATAAATTGCATGCCAATCAGTGTTTTTGTTGCCCGAAGTGTTTAACGAAATCGAAACTTTTATTTTTATAGCAAAGGCTGTAAATTTACTGGAAGTCCCTACAGAGTGCATTTGAATTTCGAATTTGCTGCTTTCAAGTATCTAATTCTCATTGATAACTTGATTGCCTAAATAATTACTTCAATTGCATGTGAACTATAGGTATTTCTAATTTCACATCTCTTAAAAAAATATCAAATTTCATCCGCGTCCAGTTATGCGAGTGATTCCAAGAGTTGTATAAACAGCTGGACGGAGGTCGACGAAGATCAGGAAAATTATCTGGAAAGGACTTCCAATTCGCATTCCTAAGTGACTCAGAGGCCTCAGGCCGGAATTTCACCCGATTATTTTCGGGATTAATTGTTACACACATCTAAACCGGGACGTCACCGATTTCAACGCGCACATTGCGTCATTCCCGTTAAAAGTATTTCACGCATGAATGATGTAATAGTCGGATATAGTAGAGTATAGTCAGAATTTCACAACATCAAATAACGTGATTCGAATTTGCTACAGGAATGCATCGAATATTGAATACTGCTACATGGAAGCTGGGAAATTTTAATATTTACATCCGTTCAACTATACAAAGTGAATTCAATAGTACGGTTTATCCTGCTATTGACAATTCTTTAGTTATAAAAATATACAAAAAAATATTTAAGAAAATTTGTTCGTGTTTTCAATGTTTGTATTCGTTTGTAAAACGAACGTGGTCTCTGTAAAGTATTATAACTATGCATCGGGGTGTTCTGGTTCATCAGTTTTAGCAGTTTTAGCGGTCGTTTCAAATTACTAAAGTTCCTTCACCTACGTACTTGCGGGCAAACTCCCGATCCTGCTAGTGCGAATGGCCATAAACGAGCTTTGCTGTCGACAATCAGGGCATTTTGCATGTTCGGGATAGATAAACGCTTGTTCTGGATCTCGTTAAATTTAAATAAACTTAATCGAGAATCAAATTAAATGATAGGTGTGACTGAAAAAGTCCTCCATGAAATTGCTTTACGCATTTTTTTCTCTTATTTATTGTATTAAGTACCTAATATTGTTGCTAGAAGTAGAACTATATAAATTATGAAAATTATTAATATTGCGACAATTTCCCATATTTTTACAGTGCTTTCATTCAGCTATCTGAGCCATGTAGATTACATTTATTTTTTGTTCATACAGAAATATTATATCATGGTTTGAGTCCAGTTACGACTTTATGAAGTCACTGTATATTTATGGCAACAGAGGTAAGTTTGTATGCAATTATCAGCGTCTTCTGTTTGGAGTGCTCCTCACTTCTGACTCAACGGTTTTTTTTCGCTTCCTTTTCCATTAACTGGAAATGGAAGGAGTAAGTTTGTGGGAAATTCGCGTGAATGTTTTTCTCCTCCGAATATCCTGACACGTATTTAAGTAAATCCCCCAGCCTTGCAGTTCGATCAATCAATTAGGTAGGTGTTTCTTGTCAGTCGAACCGGGAAAACTTTTATGTATCAGAGATTTTAAAAGTAAGTGGGTTCTTATAAATGCGACGACATCGGAATAATTTAACCGTCTATCATTTTTGACATTGAAGACATCTTAAGAACTATTCTTTCCTTCATAGAGCTTTGTTGCGAACGTCAGGAAAAATCCCTTATGAAAAAGGATAATTCCCGAACAATTTTTCCTTCACTTAACAGGAATTTGTTTTTTTATTGTGTTATTAGACAATTTTGGCACTTTTCCCTTAGTGAGAATTTTGTCCAGCATGAGTCAACTCTTACACGGGCGCCATGTTTGTTATTCTACATAAAATGAGTATTTTACATAGAGTGTTAAAAATGTTTTCTCTACTTAAAAAGTATTATAGTTTATATTTTGTAAATGTTTAGCTGGATAATTTAATAACAATGTTGAGAACAAAATCAAAGTTTATTACCATAAATGTCCATCGGTTTCGCTTTTAGTAAATTACTTTTATTGAATCCATTATTGAAGTGAAAGAAAGCGATCGAATATCAATATAGAAAAATAACAATAGGAGAGCAATAATCTAATTTTGATTCTCCCCGCGTTCCATCAACGAACGAATCTATTTCATCCATCTAATCCATATTTTTATTACGTTAGGTATATTTGAGAATTCCAGCGACCTGCATAGCACCTTGGTATTTCTAAAAGCTATTCAATCGCTAGGCTCGTCACGTCCGCAAAAAAAATTCAATTACTCCTAAAGCTTAACGATGTTTATGTAAGCCAGCTAACAAAAAGTTATATGTTCCTGTTATTTTTCGACCAACATAGGCGACAGCAGAGAGTGTGTTTGCTCAACAACGGTTCGAGATTGAGTTACCTTTCGTTGTGCTTGAGGTTTTGGGGGGATCATAATTTTTATCCCGAGTTAATAGTTTACCAGGGGGTTGCTTACTTTCTCCTGTTACATATTCTCTCTGCTACATGATTGTAATTAGGTTTTAAATATGGTAAAATAATTGGTTTTATATCCAATATAAGCATTCAATTTTGATGTATATTTTTGTACCAACTGACTCACTAAAAATTAAAATTAATTGAAATATGAAAAGAAAGCAGCTCCGTCGGTTTTCTTGCGAGTAAAATTGCGAAGCTTCCGCCAATATCGTTTGTCGGCGGGTTATCGCTGATTTTCTAAACAATATCCTTTAGAAGACGCGAAGAATAACTCGATAAACTCCTCGAAAATAAGTTACCAATATTCTCGGTGAAACTTATAAATCCCCGTTTTGCCAGTCAGGCAATATTTGTATAGTTGCAGAAGGTAAAGTAACGAACGATGTTCTGGAAATTTTTGATAAAAATATGCGTTTGCTCATGTAAAACAGGGATATTCGAATAAATATGCTGTGTTTTAATTAATTTTATGCATGCACATAAATGCTTAAAATTCGTGCAAATTGGTATGGCAAAAATTGAATTAAAATAGAGCTTAAGTAATTAATTATTTTAGTGTATATAAATGAAAATATCATAATTATTGTAAGTGCATATATTAAATTAAATTCTTTATTTTCGTTTTCAGGAAGATGTCCGTGATAAACAGCAACCACGTTAATGCTTGCACATTACCGGAAACTGAAAAGTTTTGTCCTGTAGTCCACAATTCGTCAGAGGTGCTGCAGAAGAAACCCATTCGTTTGAAAAACATAGTATCCCGAGCCGAAGCGTTCGATTCCTTGCATCTCAAAACGAAAGAGGTGAGTACAATTAAATTTTATCTCGCATGAACGTTTTTCGAATTATCGGTTATGGACCTGAAATTATGTAGTAGGTATATTTCCAAGAAAATTTCGTACAATGGAAACTGAATTCAATGAAATGGATAAGATGTAGCTAATTTACTTTGTCATTGTAAGAGCCTTTCGACTCGAGGAAATAGAAAAATATATACTTTAAGATCCTATTACGGGTGGGTTTTTGTTGAATTCAATAAATTAAACTCGTCCGGGTTCTGCAATGGGAAAATCTGGTGGACAATGGTCTGAATAGAGAATACGCCATAATATACAATAACTGTACAATCTCAATGAAGATTTTATTCTTTTCCTAGCGCATTATTTTATAAGTTAAAAAACATATTTGAATATATCATATTAAATATATAAAAGATATTACTAATATTTTGCGATCACTTGAGTGTATTTATTCGTAATATCCAGCAAATTAATCCACCATATTATAAGTTCGTGATCGATCCGAGAACTTGAGATAAGACGTAATCAAATTAAAAATTCTCGATTGGAAATGTACACTTCACAATTCATCAAGAAATGTTATTAATATTACGCAAACTTGTCGGCGCGGATTTTTTATTACGCCGTCTCCAACTCTGGCAAAGTTCGTTAGCGAAAAGCATGACTTTGCTATCGATCTCATTACATGATACGAAATTGTAATACAACTTATCCTTATTAGTTCGAAAACTTACCGAGCTGCAGGATCCGTTCGATCAGCGTATCCGTTGATTTTTAATTTTTTTACGTTTGTAAACTGCTTTGCGTCTTCCGCCTTTAAGCTACATTGCAGAACTGCAAAGTTACTTGGAAAACAAATTTATTAATAAATTCTCGAGCTTAGAAGTTCAAATGGTAGTCTGTTGAACTTATTTTCTGATAGTTCACTTGGATTAATAGCTGTGGAATTTACCGAAAAATGCGGCAAATATCCTGAACTGATTTTGTTATAACGGCTTTATCGTTTGTTAAAAGGTTTATTAAGTAAGTGTCAATTATGTTAAATATTAATGTGAAAAAATGTGGGAAATTAATGTGAATTCAGAAAGCGATTAAACGATTTATCACTTAATGACAGTAAATGGAATATTCGTAATTAGCTATGTTTCCAGAAAACTCATAAAATACACCATTCTAAAGATATTGCTGCTATTGAAACATGGATAGAAAAGCGTTATTACTTTGCTATTTACTCTTGCAAACCATCGCTTCCTATGAAATAACAACAGAAAATTCTGATAACAAGAAATATTCCCTGATGAATTGCCTTACAGAAATCATTAACAACTACTTCATAGAGAATGATTTAATAACGGTAACCGTTCCCAAACTGAACAACGAAATTGACGAAGTGGTTACAGAAATTTTAAATTCAATATTTTCAACGCAAAAACGTTTAGTGGAGGTAAAATCTGCGAATAAAGGTGAAGGAGAAATATTGCCATATAAGATGTCGATTGGAACTCGTAAGCATTTCATAGTCATATTGAACGAGGGTCCGGAAGGCGATATAAATGTTAATAGATTGTTCTGGAATCCAACAATCGTCAAATTTATAGCGATTCTTTTTCAAAAAAACTCGACGACAACGGATAGAGTAGATAACATCTTTAAACACCTCAATAACAAATTGATGCTGAACGTCGTCCTTCTCGCTTACAATGTTAGCGGTAATAATTTTAACATTTATTATCAAAGAAAGCGGTATAAAAATTGCGTTCCGGTATCCAAAAAAACCGTTTTAGCCGACACTTGTTCGTTCGGAATTTTCGCGAAAAATGCTACACTATTCGAAGAAATGAAACGCTCGTTGAACAAAACGCTCAACGAAAAGCACAAGTGCATTTTAAGGGCCGGCGTATCCATATCGCCTCCTCTGGTTAAAAAGCGTTTACGAAAAATCAGAGCAAACACAACCGATGAATTTTACGGTATAGATATCGCATTGTTAACTATCATAGCGAAAAAATTTAACTACAGAATCCAGTACATCGTAGAGAACTCATTAAGCAACGTGTTTGACAATTTAACAGCGACAGGAAATTTTCGAAGGTAGGTTTAAAGATAGGTTAATTCTTTATTTATTATTTATTCTCTATTTACCTAATTTTTGAAGGTTGCTACACGGAAAATTGGACATTGTCATGGGCGGCTACACGAAGACTGTCCCTAGGTATCTCCTGTTCGCAGGAAGTAATTTTTACTTAGATAATCATCTGGCATATTGCGTTCCTTACAAACTGGTAAAACGCGGCGAAGTAGGCAAATTAGTATTAAATTCCTTAAATTTTTTCATCTATTTTTGCTCAAGCTTATCCGTCCCAGCGTTCCTACTTTGGATAAGCAATAAACTATTACCAGATGGAAGTCATTACAACAAATTTTATAACTCTTATTTAACAGTATTAAGATTGATGGTTACCACATCGACCCGTTATAAAATAACATACTCGAATTCTAGAATAACTTTCATGACAACTTTGGTAGTTTCTATATTTTTTTCTACTATGTATACTTCAATGATGACAAGTACATTATTAAATGACAAATACGAACAGAAATACGGTTCGTTGGAGAAGATTCAACAATATAATTTATCTACTTTCTATGGTCCAAATATTAATATATTCTTCGGCGGAGCCAACGACGAAAAAAACGAGGATGTGTTCCAAAAAATCAAAAAACATTGCAAAATTTGCAAAGGTTACGTGAATTGTACTAGAGACGTGGCATTTAAAAGAGACCGATCGTTTGCGACAGCACATTTATACATGTTGGATGCAAGGAAAAATTTTCTCTCGCGCAACAAGGGTCCTCTGATATACTGCTTTGGCCATTTAGTAACGATGTTGCTCACTGCATACGTATTAGAGACTGATGCATTGTTGCTTAACGAGTTAAACAAAGTCATCTCTAAGTTAAAAGAAGCAGGAATCTTCTGGAAATGGGCAAGAGATATCACGTCTACGAAAGATGCAGATCAAATCGAAGTGATGGATATCGACTTGGATGTAAGAATAGAGTTGCAAATTCGCTTGAAACATTTAATTCGCGAATTTCGAATGATTTTACTTTTGTATATTCTGGCTTCACTTGTGTTTCTTGCCGAATTTGCTTCAAATTACCTACGGAAATTATTTAGAAAGAAACGTTAGATACTAACATTTTTTACATGTTAGATTGTCGTTTCGAAATTTGATTTATGAGAGTTGATTCATAATCGCAAAAATTTGCCGAATTTAGAGACAATATTATGTTAAGTCTAATAATTTTACGAATTTTTTTGTCAATTTGTTTATCAGTCAGTTCAGCCTGGAGCTTTATATGTTTTTAAAAAATAACTATCAATTATAACTATTGTTGTGGGTTATTGCTATAGCGGCAAGTTTTTATAGGTCCCAAAGTGTCAATTAAACAGCAATGAAATTAATTTGAATTCCCGAAAAGATTTTACGATAATTTCTTTTAACGATGTCCCATCAAATATTCACAATTATTTATCGAGTTAAAGCGTCAAATGTTCAATATCATTTATGAAATAATCGTTGAAGTTTGATCATGAAGACACTATTATTTTGCGCATTAATCGCGCAAATCGCCATTTGTCACGAAATAACACTAAGAAAACACGATAACAAGAAACTATCGCTGACGAAATGTCTTAGAGGACTCATCGTTAATTATTTTACCGAGAATCCATCTATAACGGTAACCGTTCCCAAACTGACTAGTGAAATCGATGAAATGGTTACGGGTATTCTACATTCAATATTTTCATCGTCAAACCGTTTAGTGGAAATAAAATCCGAGAATAAAGATGAAGGTGAAATATTGCCATATATGATGTCGATTGGAACTCGCAAGCATTTTATAGTCATATTGAACGAGGGTCCAGAAGGCGATATAAATGTTAATAGATTATTCTGGGATCCAACAATCGCCAAATTTATAGCGGTACTATTTCCAAAAAATCCAACGACAATAGATAGAATAGATAGCATCTTTCACTACCTCAACAATAAATTCGTACAAAGAGTTATTCTTCTCGTTTACGATGTTGGTGGTGACAAATTCGATGTCTATTATCAAAAGCGTCAATTTAAAAATTGCGTTCAAGTAGCCAAAGTCACCGAGTTAATGGATAGTTGTTCTTTTGGGACGTTCAAAACAAATACGACACTCTTCAAAGAGCACAAACGCTTGCTGAATAAAACGAAGATCAAAAAGCGAAAATGCATTTTAAGAGTGGGGATATGCTTATCGCCTCCTTTCGTAAAACAGCGCAAACATATTAATGGTACCAATCCAGACGATAATCTTTATGGTATGGAAATTGAATTGATTCGAATCGTAGCAAAAAAACTCAACTACAGAATCAAATATGTTAGAGAAGGCACGCTGGGCACCGTATTTGACAATTTTACTGTGAAAGGGAATTTTTTAAGGTAGGCCAAGCAACTGCTACCTTCATCAAAAAGGGATTAATTTATACGTTTAGAAAATGTACGCTTTTGATGTCAAGCCCGTCTTTTAAACTCATCACATTTTATGCTGATGTTCATAATTTAGCATGTAATTGCAAAAAACGATCTACAATCAATCTTGTACCTCTTATCTTGCGAGTTTAGATGATTATTGCTTATTGGCAGAGTTAATAGATTCATTAAGGAGAAGCATGTGTGCAATTTATTGTATAAGTTAAATTCCCTTTATCTGTCATGATGAATGAAGGTCCCAAATTAACTCATATTCGAATTTTCGAAGGTTACTACGCGGAGAAGTAGACGTTATCATGGCCGGCTTCTCGCAGACGCATCCTAGGTTTCTGCTATTCACAGGAAGTAATTATTACGTGGATGATCAATTGGGGTTTTGCGTACCGTACGAGCTCGTCAAACGCAGCGATGCATCAAAACTAATCAAAAATTCCCTAAATTTTTTCTTATATTTTTGCTCAAGCTTGT